GGTAGGTATCTACTATTGGCTAGGTTAATAATACGTAAAGGCAAACATCATCAGCTGAACATAACCAATATGATACCGATATTTCATATTGCATAATAGATTAGTTCTAAATCATCAAATAACCTTTAATATTGGATACTGATGCGTACCATTAGCTACTGATAGGGAACTCAGAAATCATCTCGCTATTCACATGTAAACTTATCTAAAAATGATATACTTTTATTTTAAACTTTAATGAAAATAATTTGAATTTGTAAATAGGTTATTAAATTTTATTATTTTCTAAAAAAGTAGAACTATTTTTGAATATACACTTCTCTAAGTTCTTGAACAATTTTTCTACATCTCTTTCTCATTTCACGACCGGTTGGTATTTGATCTTGGTCAATTTCAAAAGTTAAAGCAAATTCTGTTTCATCATCATCATCATGATGCGCTTGGTAATATTTAATAACTTTTTGATAAATCTGCTCAATTATTGAGATAACATATATACCACATTCTTCAATATAAGGTAAATAAAATAATAATATTACTACGTGCTTGTAAATTAAAATCAATTTAAAATCAAAAATAAATTTAAAGCCACTTACCATTACCTTTAAAGTTGTAACAATAAATTATTTGAAGGAACAAAATTAATTGATCATTTTAAATAAGATCAATAATATATAAATTTCAAAAAAAAAAGTTTACCATTCTCTTGATGAGGTGTTTTCATATTATGAAATGACGATCCTGCAAAATTAATTCAAGCTTAATCAATAAAAATCTGTATATATTTTCACTAAACAAATATAAAAATATTTTATAATATACCAGTAACATTAAGTACACTAGCAATTTTCATTGCATTATATTTAGCAACACCTGTATTCATTCCATTAGCACTATCATAATGCAGGAATTTATTAGTTTTTCTAATAAATATTAAGAAGCTCCAGTGATTTCCACCACGAGCTTTAGTCACATCAACATTGTCATTTACTATCATAAATATAACTTGCGCCGTAAAGATCTGTTTAGGAAGTGCTCCGGCAAGAAATGTAGAGTCTGGCATAATATTTATAAAGATACAGATTTAGATAGTATAGATCATGCCATAAAGATAAAAATGATTTAAAAATAGCACCTTGAATATTGGATATCAAAAAAGTGAGCGCAGCCCTAAGAAGAAAAACCCTCGATCGAGAAATATCATCTTTTGAAGTTACATTATGTTCAAGGTATCTTTAAATTATATTATCATAGATTAGACCAAATTAGTTGCAAAGCACGAAATAAGAGCTTTATGAAAAAGCTTACTCTATAAATAAATCGATACATTTGTCATTAAGCCAACGTCCATCTTCAAAAAGTTCAACATCCTTTTAAAGAAAATTTTATTAGTTGTTTTATTTATAAAATTTAGAAAATACGCTAGTACATTACCTCCAAGTCTACATCGGCATCATAATATGTTAAATATTTAGCTGACATAGTTACTATATAATTACAGGATTTATTTGAAATTACTGTATAAAGAAATTTTAAAAGGGTTAATTGCGATGTGAGCTCAAAAAAGTAGTCCAATCAGATTTAAATAACCGCCAGAGTAACACAATCCTAACCGAATCAAATTTTTTTCTGTACTAGCGCTAGTACGTACAGTACTGACTTTATACTGATATGGCAACTTTAAAATAATACGTAGTATTTCGCTTAATTTTTACTCTTTACATAATTAAGCCAATTTTAACATCTATACGACAGACAAACATTGTATTGTATCACGATGCGAATGAACTTGGATCAGAAAAAGAGATAGAGTTAGCAAATGTTTTACAAGGATATCACCTAGTTTTAATCTTGAAATGAATAAGCATGGATCAGTTTAAGAGAAACGTTAGCAGAGGTGCTTTGTAAGACCTGCTTTGGAATGAACTTGGTTCACAAGGTAAAAAAAGAAGAAAAAAAGGTTTGCAAGAGCAACCCATTTTGAATATTAGAAACGAATGAATTTAGAGCAGAGGGTGGAAAAGCATCAATAG